GCCTCGTCTATTGGCCATGAACATTCTCCAGCGTACTGCCCTCTTTTGTCCAATTTTTTTGCCGCTTTATGCGCGCATCTTCTAACGTGTTAGTAATCTAAGTGCTTCAGCGTCCGTGGACTGTAGATGATTTTCACACATGCTATGAATCAGGAGCCCCGACGCCAACGGACAAATCCTCTCTTTCCTGGCATACATGATGATTTTAATTACCCTCGGGAATGATGCCGACCTCAGTCAAATTATCGTACATGTCTCCAAACGTTTTCGCTGGCTCGATGAAGCCTTCTGGAAGCAATTCTTTCGTAGCTTTTGCATTGCTGAAGAGTACAGGATTTCCCACGTTGTAAGCAATGTCCTCCCAAGAGAGCTGCTTCCCCGCCAAGCCTGAGTAATACCCAATCCAAAGGAAGGCCTTGGGCACCGCGTACCTGGGCAAACGGCGGTTAATTTTGGCGCGAACCGTGTCAATGATCTCTTGGAAGGAGAGCGTGGCACTTGTGGCGATGTAGCGCCCGGAGGCTTGAGTGTTGGTCAGGGCCGCCACGTGCAGGGTGGCGACATCTCGGACGTCAACCACACCCCAGGCCAGATTCACCATGCCTGATTGATGGCCCGTTACTAGGTTTTTGAACAGAGTTAGGCTCATCGAGTCCTCTCGCCCGGACAGGGATGGGCCGAAGACCAAGCCCGGCTGAATCGCTACCAGGTCCCATTCAGGTTTCTTCCCGTCTTTCCCCACCTTCTCGGCATACTCCCACGCTGTCTTCTCGGCCAGGGTCTTGCTCAAGCTGTACGCCTGGTTGTTCTCCAGCCTGGATGTCGTGTTCCAATCCTCCTCCGAGTACACGTATCCGGGAGGTTTCTCGTTCCCAAAGCCAAAGACGGCGCGGATGGAGGAGGTCAGAACCACACGCTTGATGCTCCCTGCCTTGAGAATCGACTCGAACACATTCTTTGTACCTTCTACGGCGGGAACGACCACGGCTGCGTTGGGGTCATCAGGCATTTCCAGAGGCACGGGGGAGGCCGTGTGAATAACGCAAGTGGCGCCAGCGCATACCTCGTCGAACGAGCCGGGAGCCAGTAAATCGGCTTTGTGGAAAGTCAACCGCTCGGACGCTCCGGGAAGATCGCTGAGGAACTGGAATATGGCGGAATCGGGCATTTAGGAGAGATCAGTAAGCGGTAATTGACTGTTTATCGACAATCCGTTCGAATTTGGTCACGCCGCGGGGGCACAAAATCTTCTGTTGAGGGTGAACGGTAGATTGAATCCAGCTTCACTGAGAAGGAAATTCAAGATTAGCCAAGCGTTCTTGCACAAATTCGTACTTAATGCTTACCTTCAGACGCGCCTTGTTGCTGGGATCGCGGACCGTTGCCCTAACTTTGAAACCATTTTCCAACAACACCCTGACGATGTGGCTCGCAATATAGCCTGTAGCACCCGTCACTACCACAACGGTCTGACGTGTGGTGTGTCGTACTCATTATGAAGTTATGCAAATACATGATTTCGACATTTTTCATACAAGTGAACCCTGGCTGCCTTTAGCGGTGGAAAGAACTCCCCTCGCCCTGTGACAAGTGTGAAGATATCACGTACCCGCTGGATGGTGGAGGGAGTTAAGGCGCCATCCTGACTCTCCCGGCCAAATCGATTGACTATATTGCTGAATACATTCATGATCCTGGTGGTAACGATGTCTGTCTCGAGCATGGAAGAAAAGGAATAAGGTTCAAAAGGTTTCGGCAGATCGAATCGGTTCGCAAAGTCTAGGAGAAAACAATTCCCGTATAGGAATTCTTTGCCGATTGGGACCCTTGCAAACCATCCTGCCTCTCATACGACAATGTCAGAGCGAAAGTCTGCGTCCAAATGGCCCTCCTCCACCAGCATAGGCCATCCCCGGCCGCGTGGTCCGAGTCCGCCTTCAAGGAAGAAGGAAATGTAACGGCAACGGCGAGAGCCTGGGTTGCTGGGACCATCCGGTCCTATGTTCTGCTTTTTGCACCGATACACCCTTGCATGCCTGCACCATGGCTCCGGGCGCAGTGTTTTAACTCTTCACGCCTCTTTTTTGCCACCACAGGCGCGGGTGGCGGAGCGGGTTGTGTAAGTTCTTCATTCCTCGCGAGCCTTTCCGTGTTCCAGTGGGCCGTCTTTGCTATTTTTTCGTCATCATCATCATCATCATCGTCATCCAAAAGGATAAATTACCATGAACATGCGGTTGCGCAGAATAGTCTATGTGATTCTCTTTTGTGCATTGGCATTTCAACACGTCCAGACCTTTGCAACGACGGCAGAATCAGCCGAATCGGTTCCTGTCCTCGACGAGTGTCTTGATGAAGACCTGCCGCAAGCACCCAAGAAGGTGGAGGTGGAGGCCCGTCCTCGCGCCCCTAGGCTAGGTGATGTAGTGGCCAATGTTAAAAACAAGGTCCCTGTTGAAGTGCCGGGGTGGTTTGCCGGGATGTGGTCAAGTATGAGGCAAATTGCGGCCCCGCACGTCCAGAAGGTGATTGAGTACGGTGGGGAAATGCTCCGTCCTGGGGAGGAGATAGCAGACCGGTGCAAGAGGAGACGCAAAACGAGGACTTCCTCAACAGAGGGAGGTCTAGACGCTTGTGCGTTGCTTGATGTCTCCTGGTCTCTGGGTCGACAGTTGGGTGCACTCAGCAGTAACGCGTCGAGCAGGACAGCGTGGTGGTTGGTGCGGGAAGTGCCCCGAGTCATCCTTCCCTTCCATCTCTTGTGGGTGGATGTGGCGGTAGATATCAGCCCCGTCACGAGCAGCGACGTCGCGTCGATCATCCTGCACCAACGTCCTTATTGGGTAGTGCAAGCCTGCGACGTATTCTCCGCCTTTTTCGGGCGGGTCCTCCAGCGACTCCCTATGCTCGACTTTTTGATGAACGCCCGCTACGACAAACTTTACATCCACGACCCGGCATGCCCCCTCGTGCAGGTTGACGGCCTCGTCTTTCGCGCCCCCCTCACGCCCGACGGCTTCTGCGAGACGCGGCCTTGCCAAGGAGAGTCCTCGATCACCGGCCAATTTCCCCCCGGGGAGCACGCTTCCTACTGCGAATGCGACCTGCCCACAGGTTACTGCCGGCTGCGGGTCGAGCCTCTCCGCGACTTCCAAGTACTGGTTGACGAGCCGCTGGCTTTCAAGCGTTTCGCCGCGCACGCCAGCAGCGAGGTGGCGTGGGTGACCGTGCCGGAGTGGTTGCCTCCCTGGGCACGATTGACCTTTCAAGGGCTATTCCCCCGCTACCTCTTCAATTTCCTGGTGGGAATCATCCTGCTCTACTCGGCGGAGACCCTGGCTGAGTCCAGGCTCTTCCACGCCGGCATAGCTGCCCTTTTGGGCCTTTTTTCCGGCCTAGTGCTGGCGGGGCTGCTCCTCAACCACGTCTTCCGCACGGTCAGGCGCCTGGAGCCTTTCTCTGGCCTGGCCACGCTCCTCACGTCCGCCACAGCTATGCTCTTGTACCAACGGCTCGGCCGGCACTCCCTTCTCCCCCTCACCCAACAGCTCCTGGGGGCTCTGTGGGCGGATGGGAAAGGGCAACTGGTGATTGTCGCCTGTGCCCTGCTCGGAGTGGGCTTGACTTGGGGCATGGGATGGTTTCTCGAGACCGAGGAGGAGGCGAAAGAGCGCCCAGGCTGGCTGCACCTGTATTTCAACGGACAGCACAACATCCGGGTCGCTTTGACGGCGGTGGCGCTCTTTTTCCTATGGCGCGCGGTGCCCACGCCCGATCTGGGCGTGCTCCTGCTGGTGCTGGTGCTGACACGGGGTTTTTGGGGCCACGCCTTGCACCGACTCGACATGTACCTGCACCGGAGTCCCCAGACACACCGCTTCCTGGCCCGGGCATCGACCTTCGCACCTGCCGGCTCCTGGAGGAGCGAGAGGCGACCGCGGGCACGAATCGGGGATGAGGTAGAGGAGGAGGAGGAGGAGGAGGATTATACGACGAGGGAATTGCAGAAATTGCGTGCCTACGTGCAGCGATATCCGGAGGCGACCCACCGGGTGCGGCACGGGAAGATGGATCTGGCGCGATTCCGGGAGGGAGGAGAGGACTTTCTGGTGGAGGAAGAGGACGAGGACGCGGAGAAAGGATGGGAAGGGAGGAGGGTTGGCTGCTGCGTACAGTAAAGTCAACGACCGAGAGGAAAGTGCAAAACATCGAGGAAAGGACACGACCGTGGGACAAGCGGGGAGATGGGGGAATGGATGCGGTAGGGTGGGGGCGAGGGGGCTGCGATGGAGGTGGGTAGAAGCTGTGCATATCAATTGACTGAGCGTGTGTATAAATGTGTGTGGCATTCCGTATCGGTGGAATGAAAATAAAGTCTCATGTGCAAATACCGTGACTTGCTTTCCGACAGTAGTTGCTCTAGAGCGAGCCTTACGGACCAAGGCGCTCAGCCACCCCTACTTGCCTGGGGTCGCGTGAGGGCTTCCATGTCCATGGTTGAAAACAAAGAAATTCATCCACAATAAGTCTGACAAACACGACACATCTTTAACGCCTTAGATTTATTTAAATTTGACATTTCTTCTTAAAATTATTGGAGTATCAAGTCGCCTTCCTCTTCGTCAACATGCCCCCCCCCCCCCCCCACCTAAAGCGGAATTTTCCCAGTGGCAAGGTCTATTCCCGACGGCCACCAATCCGGCAAAAAAGCCAAGACCTGCTGTTGACGCTTTTCGCCTTCCGCTCCCGGGGAGCGCGCGACCAGCTTCACCCCTTGTTCTGCCCCCAAAGTGGGTTCGAGTCTAAGCAGCGCCAGGCCCAGATTGCTGCCTGTCGCCAAGGAGACCAAGGACCCGACGGCTTTGCCACTTGCCTTGTCGATGATCTCGGCACCCTTTACGAGGGCGGGCGACGGGCTGGGCGGCCCGGCCAGGAAAGGAGCAGCCAGAGGGTTCGCGTTCGACGGCAGGAGGAGGTCACCCAATTTTTGTACTGGGCGCTGCATGTCTGCCTCTACCTTGGACGAGGGAGGAGGGAGGGAGTCTGGGAAGAGGAACACAGGCAATAGGCGCTTCCGAATCACGCCTTTGAATTGCGTCCGGGCAGTCAGCTCTTGGCCGAGGTAGCAGCCCTTGTGAAAATTGATGGCGTGGGTCAGGTCTAGATTGCATTCTGATGGAAGGCGTTCCACCAGGTCGGGGCCTTCTCCCACGCCGTACAGGAACCTTAAAGCCTCCAAGGCCTCGCGCGCTTCCTGCGTGCAGGGCAAGGGCCGGGCCGATGAGGGCAATGATGACGGGGGCGAGGAGGGATCGGGGAAATGGATGATGCCTCGGATGCCTAAAGGGAATCGATCTCCCAACATGACGCGAGGATCGGGTCCCAGGCCCAACACCTCCGCGCCACGCGCACTCCAATGCTCTCGAACTCGCTCCAAATCAGAAACCCGAGCATGCGGCAAACCGACTAGTGCACACACGCGTGCTGTCGAGGATAAATCTGTGATCGTGACTTTAGACCGTAATTTAAAGAGGCGCAGATGTTGTAAAAGCCCCTTTTTGACGTCTATAGGCACGTCCAAGAAGAATTTGTCCGGACCACCGTGCGGGGCTTCTTTGGCATCGGTTGCAATGGTGATGACACTCTCGGTGATGAGCCGACCTTTGTTTGTCAAAAATCCAGCAGCTAAAGACGCTTTACTTCCCGTCAAATGGATAATATCGTTGGTTATCAATCCTTGGACTAGTTTTGGTGCCTCAGGCCCAGCTAATTGTATGACCCCTCGCCTGCCGTCGCCCTCCCCGCTCGTCAAGTCCACCTCCCATAGTTTTCCTTCCGTCGCCAAGATTTGAGGATCCCATGTGGACGTTGCGGATGAATAACGGCTCCGTTGTGGCTTTGTGGGTCCAGGGCGGCGGATTTCCTGGAAGCGGAACAATGATGTAGGTATCTCCTCCAGCGATGTACGTACTCGTGCGGCACAGGTGGTACTACCCGTCATGCTAGCGCACCGCTCGTAGCACGTGACCACAGCAAGACTTCTTCTTGTAAAGGATGCACGCATCGGCTGTGTAGTGGAGAAGAATGAGCATTTCTCGAAGGATATTTGTTGCAATGAGGTCCGGTGTAGGACGCATCCGATGACGATCATCTCCGATGCGTCACCGAGCTCCTCAGCGACACCAGATTTGCGCTGGATGCACTGCGCTGAGCATCGAGAGACACAAAATTGGCGGTCCACGTACAATGGAATTTACGCTTATAGAGAGTCTTTCCTAAGATACTGATATCCCCAGAGTCGAGCATGTGATCTTGAAAGGAATCTCTCTCTTTGAGGATACCAGACCCAGGCGGCTCTAGGTGTTGGGAGGTCATTGTGAAAGGTTGACCGCTGATCCTTAATTGACGAATCTCTTCGGATGCTTGATCACCCAACAGAAGTGGGCCCTGGTCAACATGAACCCGTTTGGAGGTGCCAGCATACAGGCAAAGCCGCCGGAAAAGGGAAGCTTTCCTTTAGACCGGGCGGGCCAGGTAAAGAGCGGGAGTGGCCCGGATTAAAGCATGAAAGCGGGGATGTATGTGCGCATCATGGAACGAGCATTTTTGACGTCGAAAGAGATCGATAATTGATTAACTGAGATCCTGTTGTTCCAATGGATATTAAAACAAATGGGAGTTGGGAAGGAGAATTCCACGCAATCGAGACACTCGTTCCCGTGGGATGATTTAATTCTCACACATGATAATCACTAATCACTGCAGTGTCGTGCCGTGGCTCACGAGTTTTTGGGGTGCATCGAAATTCACAAGCGCGATTATTCAGCGTGCAAAGATCTGTCAAAGGCATATCTACAATGCAGGATGGACAAGGTGTGTGAATTCAAGTCGGGGGACTGAAACGTTCATTTGGCCGTGGCATGAATGAAGACAAATGCCATCCTCACGAGTAATATATTAATGTTTGCTTGTCGTCCGCAACCACAGAACTTGATGCAACAGGAGGATTTAAGTAAACTCGGGTTCGACGAAAAGCAGCAGGAAAGTGGGAAGGCGAAAGACGAGAAGACACGGCAAGTGCTGTCTTTCAATAGGGATATACTTGTATGACTATATAATTTATCTTATTTTGCTCTCTGTCTTTGCTATAATACTTGCGATACAGGGACGACAAATTTTATGACCGCAAGCGAGAGACCGAGGGCTTCGTAGGTGGTACTGGTGTTAAAAGTGGACGAAAGGGATATTTTTCATGACTTTGAGAACATTTGTCCTTATTTGTAAGAATCACTGTGAATAAAGAAACAAAGACTCTTGAAATTTGATTCCGTACGTAGTGCTTGTTCAAGTCCTTTTTCTTGCTTAGCGCAAGCTGACAAAAAATCAGGAGCCAGGTGGGGGCACGAGATAGCTTATTGGCTGGCTAAGGGCAATTAAGACGAATAAATGAGTCTTTCGGGAGGATCAGGAAAGTGTCGTCAATGTCACAGATTCTTTGAACCTGGCAGGGGAGGGGTAACCTCCCCACCTCGGGTAACGGACGTCTCAGTTCCTGCCTCGTGCCCTATCGTGAACCTTTTCCGGCCCTGTCACGGTACACAGGACAACATTCTCAAGCGGAGTCGTTACCAACCGTGTTTCTCGCTGTCTTTCCCCGTAGGTTGGAGTGAATGTTGTTTCGGGATTGCCTTGAGGCCGCCGGGAAGATCAGACGGAGGTAAAGAAGTACAACATAGGGCCGGACTTGACTTTGCCTGGGCCAGCTGCACCTGTTGTGATGTCCAGTTCCCAGGACACGACATCTGGTTCAATTGGGATGACCATCAATGCAAGTCCTGAGAAAAGTTGTACTTGTCTCCCGAAGTGTTCAAAGACAACGGATGAGATTCGTGGTCCGGACGGTTTGCAGAGCCAAGAAACTGTCATGCTTATTCCAGGATCGACGATTCGGGGCACAGCATTCAGTCCTCTGGACGATGTGACGGCGAGAATAGCTTCCTGTACTGTCATAGACGAAGACTCAGCGCATGTGCAACCCGGAGCAGTTAGCAACGACGGAAACTCTTCTCAAACATGCAACATCCCCGGACATTCGGATCGTGCGACGATTTCTTCCTACCCCCCAGCATTAGCCCTTCCCCGCCACAGCTGGGGACATACGTCCGCATCTTCGTTTCGCGTGCGCAGCCGGCACTATAAGCGTGCAAAGAAGAAGGAGCCATCCTTGGAGGCCTTCTACAAACTTGTTTCGTTCGACCTGATCAAGGCCAGCGTGGGATGTGTGAATCATGTTGGCCGTTTGATGGATCTGGAGAAGGTGCGTCCAGCCCGCAGTTTTCCGGGCTTGCCTCCATTGTTCATAGTCAACACACAACTGCCAGACGGAGAGCCCGCCATGTTCAATGCTTCGGACAACGGGCCTGGCCGGAGTGCCATTTTTGTGTTCGCCTTAAAAGAGTCCACCGTGGATATGCTGGAGGCGCATGCGGACAGCCCCTCAGCGGCCGTACGGGAAAGGAAGGGGAAGGATCACAGAGAAGCCTTCAGTGTGCCTCCGGCATTGCAGCTTCTACAGGAATACTTTCGTCGGGCCCCGCATGACCCCGACGTCAGGGGTCGGCTCAAGGTGATTGCCAGTTGCGCTAATATGGACGCGCTGCACTTGCCGTCATTCATTTCGAACTACAACGGAAAGCCCGTTCTCATCACCAAGTCCGGTCGCCTCCACCAGGGGATTTCCTCCTCGAACGGGGAAGACTTATTGTACATAGAGATGGACATTTGCGTGCATCGGTTCGCATATGTGGCGAGGAAAGGATTTAGGTACCTGCAAAAGAGGTTTTCAAAGATGATTTTGGATATCGCTTTTCTGGTAGAAGGACGAGAGGAGGATGAGCTCCCGGAACAAATTTTGGGCGCAGCGAGACTGAACAACGTAGACTATGAGGCGGCGGTGGAGGGAGATTTCGATGGGCTGGGAGGGGAGGTGCCGTCGGGGGGAGGCCGAGACACAGGAGCGCACGGGGAAAGAAAAAGCGGAGTGTCGCGATGACCGTCTTGAGGGGGGGAAATTTCGGGGAGGCGGCAGGCAATAGGTGTATTTTGGTGACTGAACAGTCTCGGAGTTTCGTCTTCAAGGAGGGAAAGCACCCACCACAGGAACATACAGGCCCGTGTCCTCTTTTTGTACGATAATTGTTGGTCGGCGAGTGTGAGCAAATGGCATCGGGAGGCAGTGGCACGAGGGGAATGCGTCAGAGCCGAAGTTCAAAGCAGCATAGACGTAAATAATTGCCAGCTTCTCCCGGTCAAATCTTCTCGGACTTATTCTTCTCTCCCTCCAGTCGCCTGAAAACACGTTGCCAGGCAGGCAACATCTCACCGGACTCCAGATCGGCCATATGACCCTCAAATTTATGACCGAACCCGTATTTAACCCACTTCCCTTACACTGCCACCCTTGACACCTCAATCGCTTCCTCGCCCGCAACCCTTGATGCCCTTGCTCTTCCTGTAGTCGCTCGTTACGCCCCTCTCTTTCCTTGTGTAACACGTTCAACTACTCAGCAATTCCCAGCTTGAGACAACGCAGTTTACCGAGAAAACTTCGAAATCTGAGTCGCACGGGGGGAGTTAAAAGAGAGGCTAATTTACTACTCCACTCCTGGCTTAGATTCCCAACTTCGTACGGCGCCAGTGGCGCCTCTTGGCATTGTATCTGCATGGTGCGAAACATTTGAGAAATTGCAAAGAGATCGTGAATATGCGGGTGTGCGACAGAAACGCTTTGGAGGATGGTCCCACGCGGGGAGTAGGCATGTCTTTCTAGACCACACTTGACCCTATCTTCCCGCGCCCACGCAGATTACAATCAGTAGAGCCCAACATTTCATTGACCAACTGTACGCCCATCTCTTCATCAAACAGAGAGTGTGCATGCCGACGTACCGGATTGTGTTCCCTGTGCGAAGCCGAGTCCAGTAAGGGATGGGGCGGTTCTGCTTCTGCTTTTTGGCCAGCGTCCGCTTAGTGCGGAATGTCTTTTGAGAAGGCTGTTGATGACGAGGCAGGAGACAAGACAGTTAGAGCCAAGAGGAAAAAATCCCAATGGTTCGGACTTTCGAGGGGTGGTGTGATGGTCGCGACCCTCATACTCTACTGCGTGTGTTTCATTTCAACACACGCATCCGACGCTCAACGTTACTTATTTAACCTTGGTCCATCCATAAATGTCTTACCATCTGTATGAAGAGAAAGCAACCAAGTAGGACGACCTGTCGGGTACGAATGCGGGCACAACGAGTGGGTGAAAATGGGACGGAGGACGAAGTGATTGCAAACCTAGTTCCTGAGGTTTTAAGGCATAAAAGCACCTTCCGGCAACGGCAATGCTGTTTTCATGGCGAGTGCATCATCCTCTTATTCATTTGAGCAGAAAGCTGTTCGCCTCTATCGTCATTAAAATTCACACGCCTAAGCAAGCGGCGACGACGAAATGAGAGGGGCGGAAGACGAGCCCTCAGCCCACCATCCATCCTTACCGGAGCTTCCTCCCATCCCTCCGCATTCCATCCGCAGGCCATCCTACGTGCGAAATCACACAGAATGGCATGTGTCTCAAAGAAGCCTGGTGCGGGTAGACAACACAAGGCGCGGCCCTTGTACATGCAACGAGGCGCTCCCCTCTCCGCCATCGGTCTGCCGTCACATTTCTCCGGCCCCCCCTTCCCATCTCATCATCCCTTCGTCGCCCCTCATCGCTGATGAGCCCGGGAGGAAGAAGGACGTGCATCCTGACAGGCGCACAAATACTGACATTTATATAGGAGCGGGTGGTCAATAAACGTTTCGAAGCAGGTTACTATTGTTTCAAAGCGGGTTCGTCGCCATATCGCGGGTCTGTGTCCATAATCCTTGTAATCTTCAAGCGCAAGGGCACCAGACCCTGGCTCATGCGAGTCAGGTGGCCCATGTGCGGCTTTACACAAGAACCAGCGTAGGAAATTAACGGCGCGCAGATTCGCAAGAATGAGAGTCACGAGAGTGTACATATTTCGTGAAAGGAATGGAG